TGGTCCACACGTGAGCCAAAGGGCTGCTCCAGGCCACGCTGCCTTCAGCTCCCAGGCTGTGGGGACAGCCAGGGGCTCTCCCAGCTCCACATGACTCAGTGCACACCGCGAGGCGCCTGAGGTCAGGAGAATCTCCCCAAGAGACGACCAGGAGCTATGGGGTGGGAGGGGTTGCAGCCGTCCCTATGCAAGGACCACCCACAGCTCAGGGCTGTCCACGTTCCCAGGGGACACTGGAGCCTGTGCCCCTGCCAGTACGGGGCCCTCCCCACAGCTGAGGCTGGTCTGGGCCCACCCGGAGCGCGCAGTATATGGGAAGCCCCATGATGCCGGCACAGCAAAGTCCCCTCGGCTGCTCCCTCTGGACCAACTTATGCTTGCAAGTCAACCACTGCCAGGAAGTCCTCACAGTGCTGGTAACAACACAGACCCTGTCACGGTACATGAAAATGTCTCTGCTCAAGAATGCAAGGAACACCGGCCAACAGATCCCGCTAGTCTGCACCTGTGACAGGCTTTGGACGCAACTGTGACCCGTCCGCCCCGGCCGGGGCACTGCTGACTGTGCCCTGCAGCTTGCCACTATGGCGACTGTCCTCACCCCACCTCCTCACCTCCACCTCCTCCTCCGAGGCAGACGACTGGAGAACCTATTCTGCCTTGTCTGTGACCACTGCTGCATGTCCCCACGGGGCACTTCCTCCTGGCCAGGGACTCTCAACAGTTCAGGAGACCTCCAAACCTGAGCTCCTGCAGGCCCCACAAGACACACTGGCTCCTCTCACACATGCTGGCCCCTCCCACTCGTGCCTGGTCCCTCCCACTCGTGCTTGGTCCCTCCCACTCGAACTAGTCTCTCCCACATGTGCCAGCCCCTCCCACTCGTGCCTGGCCCCTCCCACTTGTGCCGGCCCCTCCCACTCAAACCAGTCTCTCCCACACATGCTGGCCCCTCCCACAAGAGCCTGGCAGTAGGCAGGGCAAGTCTGTCCATCCTTAGAGGGCAACTCTCCTGGCCCTTGGTTAGTCTATGACATCAGCCAGAATTTCAGATGTCAATTGTTACACTTAAAAGCCTGCATAGGACCAGCAGATGGCATAATGGCTACATCGCTGGATTCCTACATAGAGGACTGAGGTTCAAGTCCTGGACCCGGTGGCTTCAACTCATACTGGCGCGTGTGCGTGGAGAGAAGGGATTGCGGTATGGCCATACCCCTGGGGGGTGATTTCTCGCTTTGTCTGTCTCTCCAGCAAGTGCGTGTGCCCTACAGCAAAAATCCTCTCTTCAAAAACAAAAGGCTGGTAAAGCCACCAAGATTCCACTTATCCTCCTCAGAAATGCCAGTGCACAAGCGCCCTCTCTCCTGCACGGGCTCGTCAGACGAACAGGCCACACACCCCGGGGGCAGTGCATCATGGTCGAAGCCGCAGCTATTCCGACCTAGGAAGTCCTGCGAATCCTGAGTCAGCTAGGAGTTCTGGGGAGTCCACAGGGACCCACCAAGAACGCGAGTGTGGACCTGGGTCCTCCCACAGCGCCTGGGCCAGAGCCCGCCTGGAGGCAGCAATACGAAGGCAAGACACTGGGAGTTGGTTGCCAGTCCCACGGAGCCTCTCCCTGCCATGGGGCATCCACATCCGGGGAAGGGACGGCGAGTCCTGCTCCAGTGCCTTGTCAGACTCACGGGGAGCTGGGTGTGGACTTGGGGTGGACTGAACACAGGCCTGAACCCTGGCTCTATCCGTTAGCAGCTGGGGTCCATCATTGGCCAGGTGACCATGTCCGCAGGGAACCAGGGGCACAAAGGGAGTGTAACAAGGATCCTCCCTCCTCGGCTCCCCTCCCCGCAGGCCCCAAACACCACAGGGTGCACAGGCTCCATGGTGGAGCAGGGCGGGGCAGGGCCGGTCGGCAGGAAGACAGCCAGGCACCTGATTCTGCCCAGTCTGCAGACCCTGCACTGCGAGCCGTGAGGCCGAGGCCAAGGCTGTGCAGGCTCCCCGACCACCATCTGACAGCACTCGGCCAGGGACTGCTGAGCACCACAGACACGTCCACAGAACCTGTGTCTACAGCCGCCTTCAGAGCACACAGTCGGTGGGGAACCTGCCAGTGACCCACTCGGCCGCAGCACAGGAACGAGGCCACTGCGAACGCGGTCGTCTGTCCGTGCTCAGAGGCACGCCCATCTCTCAGTCCTCACCCGAGTCTCTCCCAGGAGCAAGCTCTGCAGGCACCACTGTGTGAAGAGAGGGAGCGGGAGGGGGCCGGACAGGCCTTGAGAACAGGTGGGTGGCCGGAGGGACGGATGAGCCTGACCAAGCCCGACCAAGTCCCTGCTGAGCC